TACAAAAATACAAAAGACTAGCACTATATACAATAACAAAATTGGAAAATTTTTTTCATAAGAAAATGTTACTTGCAGTTTATTATGGTTTATTATGGTCATTTTCTAGTTAATAAATACTTTTAAAATTTGTTTTAAAAAAAAGACAAAAGACTGCTCAATTTCCATATTGACTTTTATTTCCCTTGCTGGAATTCACCCGATACAAAAGTGCAACCACAGGAGTTCTGAAGCACATGGCACGCCTTGCCACTTTTACATACAACACCTTTAGGAGCTCACCACTCTTCTCTAAATTAATTTCAAGGTATTTATTCTGGTGTTGAGACCCTTTCCAATATGGAACTAACATACATTTGCTTTATTGGAATCCACAGATTAAATTAACTCCCACCCTCACTCTCCTGTCTCCATCACAGTGTGCCTCTTATTCCCATGCAAACGAACAGATTCTATACATCTATGTAGAACCAGCTCAAATGTCACCTTGTTCATAAAACCTTTCCTCATCTTACCCAAAGGCCAGAGCCTCTCCCTACACAACCTCATTAGCATCTTTCTAATGGATGCCACATTGCAGCTTACTTGCATACTTGTCTCAGCCTCTTCCTGGACATCATGCTTCTATAAGTCAAAAGTTGTGTTTTCATTTTTGCCACCCATGTATTGTCTTGCTCCAATAGACAATAAATATCAACTCCAACAAAAACAAATATTCTTCAGTTGGTATAAAATAATAGTGCATGCCCTGCAATGCTATAGAAGCTATACGGACCTTAGTCAAAAGGAAAATCTAGGGAAAACAGGACAGTGCGTGTATTTTTAAATACAGCTCCCATATAGTCATCAGAAGAGATCGGAGACAACATACTTAATTTTTTTAGTGGTAAGCAGACACATATATCAAGACTACAAAATAGACATTCATCAACCCTGGCTGGTGTAGCTCAGTGGATTGAGCACGGGCCTGCGAACCAGACAATTGCGGTTCAATTCCCAGTCAGGGCACATGCCTGGGTTGCAGACCAGTTCCCTGCAGGCCAGTTCCCAGCAGGGGACGCATGAAAGACAACCATACATTGATGTTTCTCTCCCTCTCTCCTTCCCTTCCCCTCTAAAGATAAATAAATAAAATCTTTAAAAAAAAATAGACATTCATCAACTTTCACTAATGTTCAGTGCTTAAAGATTCTTAAAGATTCTGTAGAGATGAATGCCCCTGAGGCAATCCCACCAAGGTGCTTAGAGGGCTACAGTGAGATTAATATAAACAAAAATGGTATGTCAGTTTGGAGGAATGGGCTTACTCATCAGATATCGAAGCAACACCATATGCCTTGGCGCTAACCAAACATCTCCAACACTTCACCTTCTAACATTCTTCACCTGCCGCACTGCATAAAAGTCTATCAACTATCTATCTACGTAGGCACAAACACATCACATATTTTAATGTACGTTTCCATCTAGCAGTGGTAAATTTGCTCTTTGCAGACCAATCCTTCAAACAGGTAAAACAGGAAAAGCCTGTTTTCAGGTTCACAGGACAGGAAAGACTTGCTGTGCCATCATTCTGGAGAAGGTCACCCAGAGAGGTGAGTCCTCACTCTGAGGGTGTTTATTCCATTAGGCACCATTCCTAGGAGCAGTTGTCCCTGTGGATGCAGTGACTGGGATGCCAAAAAGTTGAGCAGAAAGCAGCAGAGATATGAGAAAATGAGGAGAGTTTGTCAACTAAACAAAAAAATGGAATTTAAGTTCTGCTAAAGGGGACCCTAATAAATGCCAGATTTTCATTTTAGCTACTGAAAGACTAGATTTTAAAATAAATGGTAAACTGAAAACTATCAATTCTCCAAAGGCATAAAGCCCAACTTTGAATCACTCCCATCTCCCACTGAATTGAGGGGCTTTTCTCCTGGCTATTCAATTCCTGCCAAAAACATAGGAAACCTTTTCTGGAAAAAATTGCGACAACATCCAGAACCTTGATTCACCTCTAAAATTTTATATACACAGTATCCAGCATTCAATCAAAAATAAATGGGAGCATTAACTAATAAGAATCGACTGAAAACCAAGACAAGAGTAAAACAGAACACTGACCCAAGAAGTTTAATGGAATTATCAGAAGTGAGTTATGTTGGAAAAATAAAATTTTCCCTGCCAAAGCAAAACTAATCCATAGTTAGAAGCCAAGATAGTAGGCACCTATAGGAAGGGAAGAAGCGATAGTGCTGGGAGAGACACAGGGGAGTCTCTGGGTGTTAACATTGCTCTTTTTCACTTATTCAGCATTCACTGGGCATCTTTGTGATAATTTATTGGGCTGTACACTTATGGGTCACTTATCCATGACACTTAAATATTTTGTAGTATTATATACTGTGAAAATTATATTGTGTTCTTTGATAAAAATTTTGTTTAGGAAATGCCCTTATCCCTATTCAGTTACATAAGCTAGCCCTCAGTCACACCCTCCTGAGAAGTCATTGACCTAGCTTGCATTTCTCCTGACAGCTATGAGGGAAAGTGTACTGCATGAGTGGCAATGTTGATCAAGGATGAATAGGAATGAAAAGCTGTGTTCTAAAGTTCAAAACAAATAAATTTATAATTGAAGGCAAAGTAGCCATACAAAAATACATGTCAAGAAATTTACAGTCAAACCCATCCACAAAGCAAATCAGTATTCACCATTTTCCATAACATGGCCTAATAAGGTAAGAATTGCACAAAAAGACATAATTTTAACATTCAAAACAGTGAATTAAAGCCAAAGGCTCACCAAACTCTGCTGGAGTCAAGTTGATGGAATCAATGTGTTATGACGGGGGGAGTACATATGGGCATTAGGTTCCACCCTTCTTACAGATAATAAACTCTAGGCAAAATACAAACAAAACTGTATACACGAGGGCTTCAGAGAATGAAGAAAGGCAGGCAATTATGGGGAAAGTGTCAAAATTTAGAAGAAATAATTAGCACAGTGGTTGAGTTTCCCATTCTTTTGGCATTGCTCTGAGGATAAGGATGAACCGTGTGGTAGGAGGAGGGAAAAAACATGCAGTAAACTTGATGACTTTCTGATCTAAGGAAACAGGAATGGAACCTAGAGCCACTACAGTCTCTGGAGTGTGAGGGGGAAATGCCAGAAAAGACAGATTTGAGGAAAAAAAGGGAAGTCCAGCTTCTATGTAAGCTCTGTTTCAAGTCTCTGCATGACCCCAGAACTGAGCATGTGCAGGTCAGACTATACCAGGTAAAGATGAAAGAGCTGAACTTTTTTGGTACTACCCCTAACTCAGATGAGACAGACTTTTCACTTTAAGTCTAACCAAGTTCAATGCCTGCTAGATCCTAGAAAGCAATACTATTCAGAGAAATATAATAACCCAGAATCTCCACAACTATCCACATCATCCAAAATCAATTCAAAGATCATTCAATCTTTGAAAAAAAAAAGAAAATAATAACCTGATCCATTCTTAAAAGAAAGTTTGCCCCAAAGTTGATTCAGAATTTTGGAAATGTAAGCAAAGAGTATAAAGTAGCTTTTATAAATATGCTCCAGGTGACAAAAGAAAGTCACTCAAAACAAATTTAAAAATAGAAATTCTCAGCATAAAAAGAGAAAAAAAGGACCAGATGGAAAATTTAGAACTGAATAGAGAATACCTGAAATTTTTAATTCACTCATCATGCTAAAGGAAGTTACTAGGTCTGCAGGAAATGATGCTAGAGAAAAGTGAATGAAGATCATCGAAAATGGTAAACATCTGGGTAAACGTAGTATTATTTTTTTATATACATAACTTTGAGCCACTGAGACATCTACAACACAGAACGTTAGAGCTGGAGGGACCATTAAAATTGTAAATAGCAATCACTTCTTGTACAAGTGAAACATGTGAAACTCAGAGGGTGAGTGTCCTGCTCAAGGCCCTAAAGCAAGTTGACGTCTCCAGTAAAGCCTGACATTTGTCATCTGTTTTACATGCTGCCAATTCCAGGAGAATTACAGGTCCAACACAGCTGCAGCAACCCTTCTCAGTCTTAACTTCATACCTCAATTTCCTTGTCTGTAAAATGGGTTGAATTATGGTACCTACCAGATAGGGCTCTGATGAGTATTTAATAATTAAAATATATTAAGTCATTTAAATACTACCTGGCACATAGTAGATTCAATATAATATTGTGCCAACTATAATAATGCCTGCTGCCCACATTTTCTCAAGCCTGTTACATCTTCCTCCTGACATATTCAAAGGTTCAAAATGAAATAATATGTGAAAGAAAAGAAAATCACATGCAAAGTTTCATCTATTCATGTCCCATAACTACTGTCACACTGCAGTATAAGACCATGGAGGGGAAGAGCAACAGTCACCGACTCAGACCTTGAGACTCACTGCCAGAAGCAGACAACCATCAGCAATATAAATAAACCAGGTTTAGTATGAAGGCTGAAGATAATTACTGGGAAAAAAAAGCTTATCTTTGGCAAATAAATAAAATTTAAAGACCACAGTATTTCCATAGTCAATCACCGATCACAGTAAAAAATATATGACCTCAAGAAAAGCTGTCCTTAACTAAGCATTAGTGACCTAAATCTAATAAAATTTTCTGTATTTATGATTTTTCAAATCCGTTAATCACAGCACACTAAGAATACCTCAGTATGAATTGACCTAGAGTAAAGAAAGAAGTGAAAACAAAGAGAATCTTATCTTTCATGTCATGAACATTCTTACTAAAATACCCATAATGAGAAGCAAATGCAAATTGTAATTAAGCATGGAGACAGTTATACAACCATATTCCCCATGAGAGAAGGAAGCAGAATGTATAAAATAATAGTCATTATTTCATGGAAGGGCTGGCATTTCATTTTACAACAGATTTCTTAATACCCCAAACCAGAACATTGATAAGATTATGCCACAGTTCTGTTTAAAGCCATGGAGTTATTGTGAAGCTCCAGGTTTGCTTACCATTTCTTCAACATAAGGATAGAGCATGTCCCCAAAGTATTCTGTAGCTTCAATCGGAAGCTGTGCCGGCAAATTGTCAATGGAACACATCAGAATCCCAGAACCTTCGACACTAGAAGAAGCAACATGCTTTATTTGGATGTATAAAATGTTACTTGTAGCTCTAACTTTTTTGAATTTCTACTCCATCGTACTTGCTCCTTATCATTTGTAATATTGTAACAAAACAAACAAGAGTTTTCAAACAAAACTTTTCCCATTTTGGGCAACCCATCTCCCATTTTAATATAGAATTTATGAATTTAAGTGTTCAAATTTGCAGTGGGGCCCTGACCAATGTGGCTCAGTGGATTGAGCATTGTCTCACAGAATAAAAGGCTGCAAGTTCGATTCCCAGTCATGGCAAATGCCTGGGTTCCAGGTTTGGCCCCCAGTCTACATGCATGAGAAAAGCAACTGATCAATGTTTCTCTCTTTCATCGATGTTTCTCTCCCTTTTTCTCTCACCATACCTCTCTCTCTAAAAATAAATACAGTCTTTTAAAAAAGAAAATATTTGTATGTGAGTTTTCTCCCAAAATTTTAAATATGTCTCAGCATATCTCTGAAAATTTGCATAGTTTTCATAATGAAGTAAAATATTGAGTATTTTAAAGACTAGTATATAAAATTAGGTAAATGATATATTTTTATGTACCTGCCACCATCAGACCACTTTAGCAAACTCACCTGTCATGAATGATGTGCTGGTCTGCATCATACATGCAGAAGGGATGCTCTATTGTTGTGCACTCAGTCATAAACTCTATAGATCCTCCTGTGTCTGCTGAAATATCACATATTGCTACAAGTCTGAAAATAACACCAATGCTTAGATCAGAGCATGGAACTCTGAAGTCTTTAACAAGGTTAAAAATGAGTAAAAATGAAAGGTGCTTGGAACAGTGTTCAAGGTGGCTGTCTAGGTTCTTAGCTTTTTTTCTCCTACTGAGTTCTGGGAAATCAGAATCTTCCTACTGTGAGTTTCAGGCTTCATGAGGAAGACTAGAGGGAAGAGGAGGAGAGGGAGGGGGAGGAGGAGCAGGAGGAAAAGGAGGATAGAAATAAAAGTGGAAAATTCCTTCTCTAGAAATACCATTGATGACAACCTAAACTTAACCTACTTAACCAACTCCCTCCACCCTGCTTAGTACTACAAAATTTTACACATTATTGCATGGGAGTCTCTAGAGTTATGAATCAATGTCTCAGCCCACCATTTGAAACCCTTAGAGGTTGACCCCAATTTTCCTGCCCAACCTCCAATTACCTCTTGCTTATATAAACCCTGCCCTAGAAACTAGACTGTACCACTTACTGTATCTTAAGCTGGGCTTTGGCAGCTCCATATGTACCAAGCAGCAATACTGCCACTTGCAATTCTCATTCACCTCGCTCCTCCCTCTTGAGGCTTTGCTAAGCCCAGGCTCCCACTTTCTCCTCAAGTCTGGCTGAGAAGAATACTGGTTGCTTTAGCATTCCCTCAGCACTGAGGTGATGCCAGCTACATGCCTGGGGGTAGCAACCATACCTATACTCTTCTCTATCCTTTAGCTCAGCAGAGTGCCAGACAGACAAGATGTCCCATAAATATTTATCAACTAATTAATTAATTGGACATTTAATAATTATTTGAATGTATATCGTTTTCAGGCAATGCCCTAAGTACTTGTGGCCAAAAGAAATAGAGCCTCTCTCCAGAAGAAGATTAAGTTCAAGTGGGAGGGAAAAAATAAGTGATAGTGGGTTTCAGAAAGAGAAACAGACTAGAGAGAATGGAAACAGAGAAGCTGGAAAGGACCTCACTGAGGAGATACCTTCTGAGCTACATATGGAGCCACAGAAGTTAAGGAAGATTTCAAGTGGGAGGGAAGGTTAACTGCCAAATGCTCTCAAAAGGTCAACTAAGATAAACATAGACAAGGCAGAAAGATAAGGCAGACGAGTCCTGATTAACAGTCAAGTTTTGTGATACATGGACCCTTAGTGTGATGCCTGACAGTGGGCCCTGCTGCTAACAACTGCCATCATTACCGAAGGAAAGTCCTTACTTGTGCGGTAGCGCAGGACAACCTTCCACACCAACAGCTGGAGACCTGCCTGGAGCCAGGAGGCTCTGAACATCTTGGCGGGTTAGTAGACGAGGGGTGTTTTGTTCCCAGTAGATCCCATTAATAAGACAAGTTGTATAGGGTGCAATCTGTAAAGCAAGTTCCAAGTTCAACAGCTAGGAAACAGAGTATTTCAATGCAGTGTGCTGAAAGAGCTATCAGTAAATTCCATGAGAAATATTTAGTGTTATTTCAACTTGACTTTGTTTGCCAGGTCAGTGGCCATCTTCTGAGTCAAAGACAAAAAGTAGCCACCCAGTCAGTGTAAAATTCCCCATGATAGAGCAGTATGTGAACATAAATATATTAATATACTTGCTCTCTGATGTGGTGCCCAGCCAAGAAAAAGGCAGGACAGAAAATCAGGTGACCTAGCACTCTTTGCAGCTCAGCAACTGGTACAGCACAATCTAATCAGGCTACCTGGACTTCTCTGGGAAGTTTCCTTACCTGCCAGATGGGGACAATATTGCTTTGAGCCCTTCCTCAAAGCAATACTGGGAAGATTAAATCAGATAACATCAGTATGCTCCATAGACAAATGTGCTACAAACATGCATACATGGCAACTAGGTCACGATAAGCTTAAGGATGCAGCCAATCACCAATACTTCTGTGACTGGGAGGAAAAAGAAAGGATGGAAATTTACTAAATTCAAAATTTTTCAGTTTGAGACTAGTTTCACATTATTTCTTTCTCAGATATCTCAAAAATTTGCAAATTACAGGTAAGAGTCCTTTTCTATAACATACTTTATATACTAAACACCAAATTTCATGCCAGAATCTAAAAATGTTATGTTGTTCAAACATATAAAAAGTATTCAAAATATTCCTTATCACCATACATGCTTGCACTTTTTGTTTTGTTTTTGTCGATTTCTTTTGAGAACTGTTGCATGACCAATGACTTCAGAACACACAAACATATTGTTCTTCTTATGAGATGAGGCCAGTGTGCCTTCCTCACAAGGATTTTCATTGTAAGTAACTATTTTGTACAGTGGGCATGGGCCTGTGCTTAGGCAGCCTCACTGTATCACCCTGGAGCCCTATAATCAATGGTATGCATTTCAAGAGAGCTAGCTGAGGTTATGATTGCAATTCATGGCTACTGAAGGCATAAATCTATGTTGAGATACAACCTCATAGACACTGAATTTTGCCAACAATACAAATTAATCCAGGATAAATACAGAAAACAGTAATCCACAGGAAATGTTTTAGAGCTACCAGGCACATGCAGACCTGAAGTACGAACAAAGACAGTAAAGCAAAGGGCACAGCCACAGAAACCAACAAAACCACACATCAAAGGCCACTCCAAACATCAATAAAAGCCAATAACTCCTTAGACCAAGTCATAATATCCAAGGGACTCCCAACAGTCAATAAATATGGGGAACTGAAAACCAATGTACACATTCAGAATTTCTCTCCTGGAAAGAGACTGGCTATATTGTTTTGTGAACGACCAACTCAAAAGCTGAGTGCAATACTCACATCAGTGTTAAAACGACTTATGTAGCGCTCAGGATATTTGTCGTATTCTACAGGATCATATACACCATCTGTTTTCCTGACAAGATGATGATGGCGACTTAACACTGTTCCGTACACCTTCCTCAGGTCTTGCAGATGAGAAAGAAATCAGTAAAGTGGATGATAAATGATAAAGATTTATGGTGATGAAATTTATGGTGAAAACACAGAAACTATAAAAAATAGTAAAAAAAATACAGTTATCCTCCCCCTCTTACCTCCATTTTGGGAAACTTCTTTTAATTCATGTGGTTCCACATATTCGCAGGGTAGTTCGTTGAAGATTTCTTGGGCTCCCTGTAAATAACACATGAGTAAAACTCTAAAAACAAATAGGAAAAGAGCCAACACAATTTCCTACAAAGATTCTAAATAATTTTTCCCACAGCTATACAGCTCCCTGTGACCAGGACTGTACCATCAAAGTTCAAATGAGGCTCTTGTTCACAGCCTGCAATTTGAACACCATGCATTGGAAAGGGGTTAATTTTTTTTTTACTTAACTTATTCTACATAGCAACAAAAGTATTTAGAAATGAGAGCATAATAAAATATTTCTATTTACTTTCTGCTCCATTCCAGAAGTTATTTCAAGTGGGGAAACTGTATTTCCTACAAAAAATTAGATACTTATTTCACAACATAATACAAATAGTGATGTTCCTTTTGTAAAATATTGTTCCTGAAGAAAGATCTATTTTGCAATTACAAGTTTCTCAGTGGGGAATAGAGGTCACAAATGTGTACTTAAAACCACCCCAGAAAGAAAAAAATATCAGTTCTAGTTTTGAATTAAGCTTCCTAACATCTGTCTTTAAAAAGTATATCCTAGGGGAACTTCCAAATTTTTGAATATCTCAATAATGGAGGTAAAACAGATCACCCTAAGAAGACAGCTTTATACCATTAAAAATGGGTTACTCCTTTAAAAAGGAAAAAAAAACATTAAAAACCTGTCACAGCTTGGAATCAACTAAAAGCAAAAAATGTAAGTTTGGAACATGACTGCTCTTTACTATAGGAAAGGTACATAGGTAAGAAAAACACCCCAAATAGAATGCCCATTCATGGAAAAGCAGGGTTCTGAAATGTCATGAAATGCCCACATCCTTTGAGTTAGTTTCAGAGTTTCAGGCTGCTTTACAGAAACAAGACAGGTGGGATTTACCTTAGATACATTACCAGTCCCTGTGAACACAAATGTTAAGGGCCCTATAGATTTGGGCATCAAACCCAAAGATATTTCATAGCCAGCATCGCGGACAGCTTGCACAGCCTGACTGCTGTTCCTATAGTTATGAGCCATGCCAATGTGCTGAAAGCAAGCACACAATTCAAGTTAGTCTACAACCTGAGACATGTTTCTATTCTCGAAGTGTGATATGTATTTTTTAAAAATAAAATTAAAATCTCACCATAAAAGGTGTGTGATGTCCCAAAGCAAGGAGCCTTAAACCCATTCCGTGCAAAATGTTGATCATCCCTATTGTAGAATCAGACCAATAGAAAGACCATTAGTTAACAGGAGTTGACATTGTTCTCTGTCCATTCTTCAACCTGCCCAAGGCTCTGAAGCAGCAGAGACCACGACTTCTCAGATTTGGAGGCCTCCTCACTGTCATTTTATCCACTTCCTCACCTTTCTGCCATTAAAAGCACTACACCAGCTTCATCCCATGTATTCCTTCCACTTTCAATCCTGCTAAAATGGAATGAGTGTCCTTCTTTTTCTCTAAGGGTAAGCTCTCCACCTTTGCTCCACATCCCATCCCTTCCTGCCTCTCTAACAAATCCACTCTTAAATTATTCCTTTCACTATCCCCCTGTATTGGCTTATTCTTATATTCCACTCCTCCTATACCAAAATAAGAATGAACAAACAAGAATGAAGTCACCATTAACCCCATGACCCCTGTCAGCAAATCAGTGACCTAAATAGCTAAACTTAGCACATACTTTTCAGATCGTGTTTTGTCAGAAGCATTTGGCAACACAGGGCCTTTCTTTGTTGGAACACTTTTCCCCCTGCATCTCTAATTAGAAATTTTTCATCCTACATTTCTGTAGACATCTCCTCGTATGCCCATTCCTTTTATATTAGTGTCCTCTGTACTCTTCTTATACATTAGTCAGCTTCAGGATTCTGTCCCAGGACTTATTCTCATCAATCTCTGCTTTCTTTCTTTACTTATTTAACTTTTTAGCTAAGCTCACCCAGTCCTAAATTTCAAGTATTCTCTGTATACAGATTACCCTAAGTCTGTATCTCTAACACAGATATTTTATTTCAAGATCTAACTGCCCACCTTATGGATTTATCCATTCAAATGCCCTACAAATTAGAGAAAACTCAGCATGCCTTTAGCAAAGACCTCAGCATCCATTCTCTTTTATAGGGGTAGAGCTTGTCTTGTGCAGATTCCTAACAAATTTTCTTTGATCTTTTTTCTGAAGTCAACTTTTAGAGGAATAATTTATACACAATAAACACACCAATTTAAAGTAGATTGATAACTGTTAACAAATGTATAACCATAAGAACACGAATATAATCAAGATACAGAACATTTTCATCACCCCAGTCAATCCTCCCCAACCCTTGGCCCCATACAATTACTGATCTTATTTCTCTCTGTATAAATGAGTTTCTTAGTTACAGTTTTGTATAAATGACATTATAAGTATATACTCTCCTTGTATGTCTGCTTTCACTCATAATATTTTTGAGATTTATACATACTTTGTGTATATGAGTAGTTTGCTTCTTTTTATTGCTGAGTTTTCCATTTTACAGGTATACTACAATTTATTTATCCATTCTGCTGATGGGCATTTGGACTTTTTCTATATTATTATGAATGAAGATATACAAATAAGAATGTACCAAAAAGAATTCATTTCTCTTGATAAATGTTTATATGTGGAATTTATCTTGTACATTGATATTGAAGTTTTTCATTTTTTTCTTCAGTTGGTTTTGTAATTTGTGTCTTTCAAGGATTTGTATATTTTATCAATATTGTCAAATTTATTGGTCCATTCATAATATTCTTTTATCCTTATCCTTTTAATGGCTGTCAGATATACAGGGTGACCTCTCTTGGATTCCTAATATTGGTAAATAATGTCTTCTCTTTTATTAGTCTAACTAGAAATTTATCAATTTTATTGATTTTTTTTAAAGAACCAACTTTTGATTTCATTGATATTCTCCATTTTTTCTGTTTTGATTTCATTATTTTTCCCTTTTACCCTTATTATTTCCTTCCTTCTATTTGTTTTGGATTTAATTTGTTGTTCATTTTCTACCTTTTTCAGATAGGAGCATAGATCACTAATTTAAGAACTTTTATTTTTTCTAATAAAAGCATTAAATGCTATGAATTTTCTTCTAAGCTCCACTTTATCCATATCCTACAAATTTTGGTATACTATATTTTAAAATTTTATTCAGCTAAAAATATTTTCTAATTTTTCCTGTGAAATCACAGAAAAAATTAGAAAATATTTTTAGCTGAATAAAAATTTTAGCTGAATAAAATCACAGTTATTCAAAAAGCATTGTTTATCTTTCAAATATTTGGAAAATTTCTAGATGTCTTTCTATTATAATTTCTAAGTCAATTTTATTATAGTCAGAGCACATACTATATGATTTCAAAAATTTTATTAAATGTATTAAGAACTGTTTTGTGACCCAGCATATGGAATGTTTGGATGAATGGTCCAAGTGACTTGCAAAGAACCTGTATTCCACAACTGTTGGGAGGAGTGCTCAGTTATGCCAGGGTGGGTGATAGTGTTTCAGTGTCCTGTATCCATACAAATTTCCAGCTACTTGTTCTGACAATTACAGACCTTCATGTAGTCTAATCTGATAGTTATAACATATGGTGTTTCTCAGCTAAACAAGGTTCAAAGTACTAAATATGCCAAAAATCAAGTAGAGTTGCCCTGATCAGGTAGCTCAGTTGGTTGACGCATAGTCTCATACACCAAAAAGTTGCAGGTTCAGTTCTCAGTCAGAGCACATACCTAGGCTGTGGGTTCAATCTATGGTCAGGGAGCTTATGGAAAGCAACTGATGCATGTTTCTCTCTAACATACATTTCTCTCTCTCATTCTCTCCCTCTCCCCTGGACCCTCCTTTTCTCTCTCTAAAATCAATAAATATATCTTCAGTTGAGGAGTAAAAACATGTTTTCCCCAACTCCAGCTTCTGTCCTTTCTAGGTTGCTCCTCTGTGGCTCCTGCCCCTGTACCTTTTTTTCTTTTTTCCCTTTTTTCTACTCCCTAAACTCTCATTACCAAACTGACCTCTAATTCAGATCTTCCAAACATAACTCTCTAAAAAGTCAGAGCCTAACTATAGTTGTTATACTTCTTCCTGTCTTCTTTTTCTTTTTAATTTTTCCAAGAAATATATTTTAATGATTTACCTTCTTATTCTAGCCTCACATATTCATTACCTTTAGTCACACCTGCATGTTTATTTTTATTGATGGGAAGTGAACACTCCCATCCCCTTGCCACAGAAAAGACAAAACACACAGTCACTCCAAAGGCAGATTTCAAAACGGGTTATGTAAAATTTCCAGCACACTTACCTGCCACACCGGCCCATTGTCCAAATGCCACTACCCGAATTCCTCTATGGTCCACCATTTTCTCATAATCAATAAGTCTGATTTCCTGACAAAAGAGTAAAAAAAAATTCAGTCACACCAAGCTTATTTTCAATAAGTAAAGCACATACATGAGCAGGTCAACATTTCACACTTTTTTCCTTTTCTAAAACATATCTTGACTTGCCAACATCAGTTACCATCAGGTACACCTTGAAACATTTAGAAAAGGCAGGTCACAAATCAATAATAGGGTTGTGATTAGAAATGAAAGAATGGTTCTACCAGGGTGCTAAATATCCATTGGTGGTACTCAGTCAAATAATGGCATGATTTCCTTTAAATTTTAGCCCAGCATCATCTACAAATATATCTACCACTTTGTTTATCCTCACATCCTTCCTTCTAGTCTCAAAGAAGACAAGTCCCTTCTGAGACTAAGCCCTGTGAGCTAAATAGAGGCCAGCTCTTTTCTATGTCCTCCAAGACCACTCTTGAGCTTTTTCTCTTTCCTGCACCACCCTCTCTGCACTGCTCCTTCCCCTACGCCATTATAAGTGATATTTACCCAGGATTCTTCTACCTTAAAAAAAAATAGCACCACTCCCTCCCAAGTTCTTACACACAAATCTTTCATTCTCTCTCTCCCTGTCTCCCTCTTTCTGTCTCTCTCTCTCTCAGTCTCTCTTTCTCCCTTTCTCTTCTCCCTTTTCTCTCTCCATCCCTCCACAATTAGCTTCATTTAAAAAGTAGTACAGCCTGCCTGCTTTTTACTTTCTCATCTGCTCTAAAATCACAGTCTTCCTATTTCCTCTGGAATCTTCCCTCTCTTAAAAATGTCTTACTAATTCATGGTTAAGACCCACTGACATGTTGTAATTATGGAATGTTTGAAACAGTCATTGTATTTCCTCAAAGCTCAGATTACTTAATCATGTCCATGAATTTAAGAATGTTTAATATCCATCCATCTCCAAGTAATTGGTTATAAACTGCTGCCCCCCAAAAAGAAGCCCTGCTGGGTCTGTTTTTATTAATTTTCTTGTAATGGATGAAAATTTATATAACAAAAAAAGTTTCTAAAGTGCTTTTGAAGGAGTTTATCTCCTTAAGGTGAAAGATTCTTCTTATAATATCACTTCCATTAATTACTTTTTGAATTTGTTCTTCAGAAACAATGCAAATTAACTATAACCCAAATTTAACATATTTCAAATTACTAAAAATGTGTTTTATATACCTTATAAAATACTTCCATTGCTTTTACTGTTTGTGAATCCTCCTGCTTTCTGTCTCTTTTCAGATTCTAGTCTAGTTTCTAACGCCATAAAATCCTTACCCCAGGACTTAGACCTTGAACTTTTCTATACTCACTACCTACCTACATCCTCTCTCAAGGCTTTAGATACCGCCTAGTCCAGGGGTGTCCAATCTTTTGGCATCTCTGGGATACACTGGAAGAAGAGCTGTCTCAGGCTATATGTTAAATACACAAACACCAGTGAAAACTGATGTGTTTATGATTTTGTATTGGGCTGCATTCATAGCCATCCTGGACTGCATTTGATCTCAGGCCACTGATTGGACACCCCTGCTAGTCTCTGATAACCACAATATATGTATCAGAAGGAGATGCCCTCCTGAGCTACAAACTCATATCCAACAACCCACACAGCACCTATGCTTAAATGTCTCATTAACTTGACAGTCTCTAAACTCAACTCTCGATCCTCCATCCAAGACTGCCCCTTGCACAGTAGCATAATCTTAAATCTATGGCAATTCTTTAAAGTTGCTCGGACCAAAATCCCAAAGTCTATCTGTTCTCTCTCTCTCTCTCTCTTTCTCTCTCTCTCTCACACATTCCACATTCATTTCATCAGGGAATCTTGCTAAGTAAGATCTCTAAAATACATCCAAGATTTGCCCATGCATCACAAATTCTACCACCCTCATGCAAGTCACCATCACTTGTAGCCTAGCATCTAGACTGGTCTAGATTTACAATCTTCTCATCAGCTTTGCTTTCCTCCTCCCACCCCTCACTCCCACAGAGCAGGCAGAATAAGCATTTTAGAACATGCTTTACTCTCACCTTCCATTCAGAAAGACCCTCAGGCTTTTCCATTACCATCCTCTCTGCTTTCAAGACTTCACAGATGGATAAGACTTAATCATTCATCTCCTTCAAATATTTGCTCAGTGCCAACTTCACAATAAGACTCTCCTGGATTATCCTATATAAACTGTCATTGCCACCTCTCCCAGTGCCCAGCACTCCTTTTCTCCTTCTGTATCCTGTTTGTCTCAATCACACATATCACCGAGTAACATATGAAGTGTCATTTATTTATCATCTGTCTCACTCCATTAGAATATAAACTCCCAAAGACAGGGTTATTTTATTGTCATTGTGAAGAACAGTGTTGGACACATTGTAGGCACTCAGCAAATATTGGTTGGATGAAAACTCTGTATTTTAAATAGCCAATAATTTTTCAATAATATTCATATTTCAAAAAATTCTCCTTTCCCCTTATGATGTTAATAAAAGTCAAAAATGGTTTTCATTCCAGTTCTGGCACTGCAGAGCTGTGTCTCCTCAGACAAGTCATTTTACTTCTCAGCTCCATCTGAAAAATTGGGGTGGTAGACTATATGATCCCTGAGGTTCTTTTCAGCTCCAAAATTCTACTTGCTAATGTCTAACCAGTTGGGTTTATAAATAATGGGTCGTTTGGGGGAACAATTCTATTATTCTTTCCATTTTACAATAAAAAATAAAATGTTTGATTTCTCATAACAAACTTCGAACTCGTGCAACAGAGGAGCCTTAAGAGCAGCAGAACTATTCAAGTACCAACTCACAGATTACTTTTCCTGTTGTAAATAACAAACCTGACACATCTCCTAGATGCTGACAGAAAACTAAAACTCTACTCGATAATAAAAAGTAAAAAAAATAAGTGTTAGTCACCAATTACCTGTCTCAAAATTTCATCCAATAAGCCCATATTGGCCTCCTGAGCTTTTATTGTGTGAGAGAAGAATGCATAAGTCTTCTTGGACATTAATTTATCCTCTGCAGGTCTTTTAACTCCCAAAATTAGACAAGCTTCAGAAATATCCTCCTGAAGGATGCCACCAGCCTTGACATATTCCTGGGAATGTAATTTTGGTTTAAAGTTATTCCTTGGTTTGTTGTATTCATATTTTCTTTAACAAGCAAAATGTACAGCAATTAAAGCCACAACTATTTGAAGGAATAAAATCTTTATGATTAAGTACAAATAATAGATAACTACATATATTTTTATTTACTAGATAAATATCAATTTAATATGTTTGACTTTTATAGCAAAAAAATCGAAAATGCAGCACATACACCTACTTAAGAACAGTTAGTAGATTGATCATAACCACTAGCACACATGTGATTTAAATATAATTGTGAAATTAATATTTTACTTTATTTATTTTAATTTTTATTGTTGACTCTATTACAGATGTCTGCTATTTCCCCCTTTTCTCCCAGTCCCCACACCCACTGTGCGAACCTCAGCCTTTACCACATTGTTTTCTATTCCTAGGCTATGTAGGTAAGTTCTTTGGCTAATCTCTTCCAGTCTCTTCACACTGAGATCTGTCAGTATATTTGATGTACCCATAACTCAGGGCCTACCCGTTTGTTCATCAGCTTATTTTGTTCATTAGATTCCACATAAAAGTGAGATTATATGGTATTTGTCTTTCTATGACCGGCTTATTTCACTTAACATACCAATCTCCAGGTCCATTCATGTTATCCCAAAGAGTAGGAGTTCCTTCTTTCAGACAGTCATGTACTGTTTCATTGTGTAAATGTGCTACATCTTAATTCTTTCATCTACTGATGGGCACTTGGGCTGTTTCCAGATCTTGGCTATAATAAATAATGGCCAAGTGGTCTATTATTTTCTTTAAAATGAGTAATCTAGTTTTATTTTTTCACAGGTACCTGTCCCATTTTCCTAACATCATTTATTGAAGGGACTGATTTTACTTCATTGTATGCTCTTATCTCCTTTGTCAAACATTAATTGACCATATAGGCATGGGCTAATTTCTGGGCATTTGTTTTGTCCCATTGATCTATATGACTTAATGCCAGTACCAGGCTGTTTTGTTTACAATGGCTTTGTGTGCAATAGTTAGGTATTCAGTATTGTGATCCCTCCTACTATCTTTCTCAAGATTGCTGAGGCTATCCAAGGACTTTTTTGGTTCCATATAATTTTTTACAATATTTGTTCTAGATCTGTGCAATATGCCACTGGTATTTTAATAGAAATTGAATTGAACCTATAGATTGCTTTGGGTAGTATGGACATTTGTAATGATGTCAATTTTTCCAACCATGAATACAGTATATGCATCCACTTGTTTGTTTCTTCAACGTCCTACAGTTTGCCAAGTATAGGTCTCTTACCTCCTTAGTTAAGTTTATTCCTAAGTACCTTATTTTTTGTTGTTGTTGAAATGGTAAATGGTATTGTTTTCTTAGTTTCTCTGAGAATTCATTATTGGTTTATAAAAGTGCCACCAATTTCTTGATATTAATTTTGTATCTTGCTACTTCTCCAAATATATTCATTAAATCTAGTAGATTATTGGTGGAGTCTGAGGGTTTTCTATGTCCAATATCATGTCATCTGATAATAATGACAGCTTCACTTCCTCCTTTCCAATTCCAATGCCTTTTATTTCTTCTTCTTGTCTGATCACTGTGGCTAACACTTCCAGTGCAACATTGAATAAGAGAGGTAAAAGCAGACATCACTGCCTTGCTCCTGATCTTAAGGAAAAAACTTATGGTGTTTGCCCATTGAGTGAGATGTTGGCTATAAATTTGTCAAATATGGCCTTTATTATGTTGAGGTATGATCCCTTGATTCTAACTTTGCTGAGAGTTTTTAACATAAATGGGTGCTGGATTTTATCAAATGCTTTTTCTACATCTATTGATATTATCATGTAATTTTTATCTTTCATTTTGATTATTTAATGTAACCCATTTATTGATTTGCAAATATTGTACCAACTTTGCACATCCAGAATAAATTCCACTTGACTATGCTGTATGATCTTTTTAATGTATTGCTGGATCTGCTTTGCTAATACTTTGTTGAGGGTTTTAGCATCTATGTTCATCAGAGATACTGGCCTAAAAAAAAAGAAAGAAGATGGAGGAGGAGAAGAAAATATTACCCTTTGCAACAGTATAGATGTACCTGGAGAACATTAAGCTAAGTGAAATAATTCAAAGACAGTTATGATATGATTTCACTCATATGTGAAATCTAGTGCAAAAAAAGAGTTAACAAGCAAGATAGAAACAGACTGATAGGTAGAGCATGGAGCTGAGAGCTGGGGCAGGGCTGTGGGGGAAGGAGGTTGGTATGAAGGGATCAAGCAAAACAAAAGAAAGAAAAGAGAAAGAATTCATGAACATGGATAACAGTGTGGTGATTGTGGGGGATAAGGGATGGGTGGAGGTGGAAGAGGGGCAAGAGGGATAAATGGTAATGGAAAAACTACAATAAATTTTTTTTAAAGATAAACAAAATTATCGTGCTGCTAGCTTCCATGGAAAAATTAATTCAGCTAAAAATTATCAATGAATGCTAACATCATTAGTTGAAAGGTTGTTGAGAAACAAGAAATTCACATATCTCAACACAGCATCTCACAGATGACTCAGTAAATACAAAGAAAGAAAGGTATTTTTGCAAGGGAGGGACCTGATAGTAATCACCTCAGCCAAGTAAGTGATCATGCATTCCTCACCATGTAATGACTGGTTTTTGTGTGTGTCTTGGATGTGATACAATGGAAAGAACATATGTCACTTATGAAATATTTATGTCACAAGTATACAACCTGAATTATCTCAAGATAAAAAACAGACTAGTTACACCCAGAAGTGGAACATCCTACAAGTCACTTGGCCTGCAATGTTCCCAAAGAGTTAATGTCATTGAAACAAACAAAAATCAAAAGGGGAGGGTCCTGTTTTTGATTAAAAGAACTAAAAAGATATAATGGTAAATTAAAGAAAGCTTAATTAAGTTTCAGTTAAAAATAAAAGCCATTTGGGACAAATGGGGAATGTGAAGTAGACTATGTAAGATGATATCATGAAGTAATTTCTTAGGTGAAAAAATTACATGATGGCTATTCAGAAAAATGATAATGAAATGCATACTGAGCATTTTGTAGTAAAATGCTATGATGTCGACCACATATTTTCAAGTGGTCAAGGAAAAAAGTACATGTAAATCTTTAAAATAAAAATGAGTCAAACCTATAAGATTATTGTGAAGAATAAAGGGAACGATAAATGTAAAGGGCATCCCACCATAGATGGCAAGGCAAACTACCATGAACAAACTCTACTTAATGAAGCATTTCCTGGAGGGATGTTTTATGTGACAAAACACAGTAGTGTCTTATTGGCCTTGTCCCCCACTCCCATAATGAGGACCCACCATGAAGGAAAGGAGAGAATGACTAAAAGATATTACCTCCTTCTAAATGCAATCCCTCAATATTGAAATAAATCCAACCAAAAATGGAAAAGACCTGTACTCAAAAAAGTATAAAACACTGAAGAAAGAAATTGAAGAAGATACAAATACGTGGAAACATATAGTGGTGTTCATGGAATGGAAAACTAAACATTATTAAAATGTCCATGGTACCCAAAGAAATTTACAGTTCAACACAATTGTTATCAAGACACCAATGGGCATATTTCACAGAACTAGAACAAATGTTCCAAAAATATATATGGAACCACAAAAGACCTGGAAGAGCTATAGCCATCTTGAGAAAAAAGAACAAAGCTGGAGAAATCACACTACCTGATGTCAAACTATACTATAAGGACACACTACTGAAAACATGGCATAGGCATAAACTCAGACATACAGATCAATGGAACAATATAGAGAGCCTAGAAATAAACCTATGCATTTATGATCAATTAATACTCAAGAAATGAGGCAAGAGCACACAGTGAGCTAAAGATAGTCTATTCAATAAATAGCATTTAGAAAATTGGACATAACCCTGGCTGGTGTGGCTTAGTGGATTGAGTGCCAACTTGCAAACCGAAGGGTCACCAGTTCAATTCCCAGTCAGGGCACATGCTTGGGTTGTGGGCCAGGTCCCCAGTAGAGGGTACTTAAGAGGTAACCACACATTGATGTTTCCCCCTCTTTCTCCCTCCCTGACCCTCTCTAAAAATAAATAAATAAAATCTTTTCATTAAAAAGAAAATTAGACTGATAACATGCAAAAGAATGAAATCAAAGCAACTTCTTTTACCATGCACAAAAATAAACTTGAAATGGATTAAAAACTTAAATGTGACTCAAAACCATAAATATCCTAGAAGAAAACACAGGCAGTAAAATGTCAAACATTTCTCATAGCAATATTTTTTCTGATATGTCTTCTCAGGCAAAGGAAACACAGAAAAATAAATGGGATTACATCAAACTAGAAAGTTTTGCACAGCAAAGGAATCCATCAAGAAAATGAAAAGACAACCCACTCAATGGGTGAACATACTCACCAATAATACATCTGATAAGGAGTTAATTTCCAAAACATATAAAGAATTTATACAACTCAACACTGAGAAAACAAAGAATTCAATTTAAAAATGGGAAAAGGACCTGAATAGACACTTCTCCAAAGAGGATCTACAGATGGCCAATAGACATATGAAAAGATGCTCAATGTCACTAATGATCAGAGAAATGCAAATTAAAACCATAATGAGATATCAACTTACACCTCTCCGAATGATTATCATCAATAAATCAACATGTTGGGGGAGGGGTGTGGGTAGAGGTGGAGCAAGTATAAGGGGGATAAATGCCAATGGAAAAATACAATAAAAATAAACTATTAAAAATAAATAAATCAACAAAAAATAAGTGTTGGCAAGGACGTGTACTATTGGTGGGAATGCAGATTGGTCCAGCCACTATGGAAATCAGTATGAAGGTTCCTCAAAAAATTAAAAAAGAAACTGCCTTATGACCCAATAATTCCACTTCTGGTAATATATCCAAAGAAACCTGAAGCACTAATTTGAAACAATATATGCATGGCTATGTTCGTTGCAGGATTATTTATAATAGCCAAGATTTGGAAGCAGTCCATGTGCCTATCTGTAGATGAGTGGATAAAAAAGCCATGGCATATTTACACAGTGGAATACTACTAGACCATAAGAAAGAAGGAAATCCTACTTTTTGCAACAACATGGATGGACCTGGAAAGTATTATGCTAAGTGAATAAACCAATCAGAGAAATGCCAATACTACATGATTTTACTTATATATGGAATCTAATGAACAAAATAAACTAACAAACAAAATAGAAACAGACTCATAGACACAAAGAAGAGATTCACAGCTGTTAAAGGGGAGACAGTGGAGGGTGAGGTGAAAAAGACAAAGGGATTAAAACACAAAAACTCATAGACACAGAAACAGTATGGTGATTACCAGAGGGCAAGTGTGGTAGGCAGGATGTAGAAGAGGGTGGGGATAAATGGTGACATAAGGAGTCACCATAAATGGTGACTTGACTTTGGGTGGTGAAAACACAATAAATATAATATACAGATGATGTATTATAGAACTGTACACATGAAACCTATATAATTTTATTAATCAATGTCACACCAATAAATTCAACAAAAAAATATTCAAACAAGAAAGAGCTCAAAAAAATTTTTTAATTAAAAGCAATCCCTCTATCACCCAGCTAGAGAAAGCATGGAATGGAATAAAAATAATACTTACTGGTTGAATTCTGGTCTCAAGGATTCTAATTTAGCAATCTCATTATAACCAAAGTAAAGGAATATTGCCATGTGGTATTTCAGTGATATTAGCAAACATTTTCTTTTCACCCAGGTGCTTTTTAATTTTCATTTGCAGAGTCATTTTATTCCCACATACTTAAGAAATTGGAACTATTTACCTTGTCGTGAATGGCCCGCCGATTGGAAGGCTGTATCAAGACCTTGTAACCCAGGTTGGTGATCCCTTTGATGTGCCGGGGCGACAGAGGTGCCCTCCTCTCCCAGGCATTCACATCCTCCCGCCTCAGGGCCATCACCGGCTTGTGGTGAAGCCCTCTGGAGAGGCTGAGCCCCAGCCTGCTCAGTCTGGTCCTGTATATGCGCAGCATCTGGAAACCTGGCGACTGTAATGACATAAGGGCACAGGACAACAAAAGGCAGGTGGGCTCACAGAACAGTTCTGGTGTCCTAAGAAATCTGCTGTAAAATCCAGCCATCTCAGATGCTAATAGATACAAGATAGAGAAAAGGGAAGGGGAAACCTGGATGATAAGTGGTTTTCCTTTACCCAAACGAACCCAATTTTCCACAAACAAGGTTATTTATTTCCAAAATATAATAAGTACTGAACAACTTATGGGACACTGGCCCACGTATGAGAAGCCAGAATAGATTTTTAAATATATGTTTTATCAAGCAACTATTCAGCATAAATAAATGTTTTAAGTAAGTTAACCTGCTATGCACATAAAATTCAATTAGATAATTTATGCTAATTTTGAGAGCATAAAGTTGGGAATTCCTTAAACATGTACAAGATTCTTGACCATGTAGCTCCAACCTCTTCGGAGTTTCATCTCTGAGCATTCCTTACAAGTGCTACCCAGAGTGCTGGGCAGCCTGTTGCCTATTGGCCAACTGCTTTTCACTGGTCCGTGATGAGACATGTACAGAAACAGACAGTTAGGGCTTAGAGACCTTTATATTACATGATCACATTTCTAGTAATTCATTGTTATTGAATTGAATGAAAGTGTTGGTCCTGACAGATTGGAAAGTTAAGAAAACAAAACAAACACACAGTTTCCTTCTCCACAGCTGTTAGAGGTTCAAGAAGCCTAGTCCCAACCACACGTCCCAACCTCACCCTCCCTGACTCTTCTGTTACTTTAAGCGTTCGGTTCCCTTTCCCAGGGTTCCCTGTCCCTAACACATCCTCCTATCACATTAAGCCTGGACCTGTCCCAACCAGCTTTCTAACTGCTATTCCAGACTGTATAACTTATTGAATCATGAAATGTTGACAAGAGGCTCACTATAAATTGTATATAAATTTCTAAAGCATAAAGATCAAACAGTATTCAATCCCTCTTCATATGGCTAAGTATATTTGGAAGCCAAGTGTCATTTCAGATGATAATCTTCTGTATCATTTGGATGCTAAACCTTAGTTTTTTATGTTTAAGGTTGGCATCAAAATATGGAACTAAATGATTTCATACCTTTCAAAAATACTCAAACAATTCCTGCTAGCATTTATCAAAATTTATATGGAATGCATTTCTGTTACATCAGACTGCAACCTCTGCATCAGACCTACCACATAGACTGGGAAGGTTTGTCCAAACCTGGGGCACACGAGTCACTGCCACCTGAGACAGGAAACTTAAACGGCAATTCACCACACAACAGACCAAACAGCGAGGGCCCTCTGTGAAGGCATCAGGGTGGAGAAGGGCACAAAGAAAAGGGGCCACACACAGCAACTGAACACTTGGACGGTTGGAGCCATATCGATGATCGACATCTCAGTAAAAGACTGTTATGTATTCTACCTAATGTTTAATTTATTTAAATACTCTCATTTTTAAACAGACAACATTAGGCCCAAAACCCAAGCTAAAGAAAAAACTGCAGCATCCCACAGAACTTGAATCCCTATATTCTCAAATAAAACCAATCTGGATGACATACAATTCTTCTGAACACATAGATAAGCCCAGAAATGGTCCCATCCTCCCAGCAGAGGCTGTATTTCATTGAGAGGGACACCACATCCTCTGTTCTTTGTAGCAATTCTTGGGGCTAACATGAGGGAACATGTTCAGATAATACAACCCCTCCCCTCAGCCCAACTTGATTTGTGATCACAGCTTCCCCTCCCTCAATGACCATCCACCTCCTCCTCCTACATCCCCTGTCTGGGGTGGGGGGTGTGATATGGGAGGACAGACACAGACTCACAGACTGGTAATATACACATAGGTATTTGCAAAGGCAAGCCTTCTTTGGAGACTCAGAAAAGAAAGCAGCATTGTGACCCCTTGGAATTTATTAGAGAAGCTGCTTTCACTTTCACTTTAGGGAATTCCCAAATCATGTAACTTTGTTTTTAGACAAATGTAACAATAGTTACCATTGATTAAACATAATATGCCTTACAGATGACATTTCATTTTCTTCTTGAAAAAATCTTAAGTAGATATTATCCTCATTTTATAGGTGAAGAAACTGAACTGGACTCCAAGTAGAGCTGCTTGCTGCTTTTTTTGCAGAAGCAGGATTCCTGGGTTAATATTTAACACTCGGGATTTTCTCTCCTTTGCCAAAGCCTGCAGATCCATACTATGTATAGATCTGACACCTGTTGTTACTGCTTCCATCATGTTTCAGAAATTAGTCAGATCCTTACGGCATTGACTTTAATATTTATAGCAAATGACCAGTTTCTAGGTTCTCCCCTGAGACCAGCTGCTTCTACTCTCTTTCCCATGTGCCACCAAAAACACTTCCTGAGTTTTTGCCAAGGTAGTCTAAGTTTCCGAGAGCTTAGGAAAAAAGATTTGATAATAGCAGGTATTACTGTATTTGTGAGTACTTTAACCTGGAACTTGGTCTCAGTATAGAACTTTCCAGGACCACCATTCATTTTATTCTAATGTCATCAGAAAACATCTAACAGTCAGGATTTCTTCATTGCTTTTAGGTAGCACATTGCAGGTCTCTAGTATTTCACAGAAATGTGCAGGTGGGCTGTTCTGGATTTCCCTGTGCTAGATTTTGTGGGTTTTCCCAAGAATATCAGGAAGTAAACATAATGTTTATTTCTGGCAAAGCTTGCAATGAAACAAAGCAGGAAGACCCCTGGCTCACCGTGCCAGGTGATGATGACGGCCTGCACAATAAGCAAGGAGGATGGAAAAGCAAGAGGAGGAGAAGAGAAGCAAAAGAAAGAACTGTGGAGGATAAGGAGGAGGCAGAGAAAAAGAGGAATAAGGGGAGAAAGAGAAATGTCACCTAGTCAGGGGAGGAGATTAAGATCCTTCTCTCAACTGCTAAAGTCTTCCCTGCAACACAGGGAGAGCTAGCATTTTTATATAGCATAAAAATGAAGTTTAAAAGATTCTCCCGTATGTTTTGTAAAACAAGAAGAGTGCTAAGTTACACATTTTACTTAGCTAGGATGGATCAGGAATTTGAAATGACTCTAAAAGCCATGGGAGCATCACAGTGAATTAACTGCACAGACGTGCACAGAGACAGGAAGACACTCTATTACTAGAGTGGAAGGACTCTAGAAATAGAACATAGTATATGTTGTCACCATACACCTCTTCCCATCACTCAGTGGGAGGAAGACTTAAGAATTTCTTTTCCTTTACAAATTATATATCTTTGCAATGTACACATGAGAATCAGGCAAAGCAAGGAAAACATGCTTATATATTCTTGGTACTTTCCAGCCTTTTCCAGAGAAATGAGAAGGAAAATGGTGATTAGAGACAGAAATAATAGATGACAGACAGATGATATATAGAGATAGATAGATGATAGATAATTGGTAGATAGATGATAGATAGAGATAGATAGATAGATAATTAGTAGATAGGTGATACACAGGTGATAGATAGAGCTTGGCACTCCATACACATCCCATCATTTTCTTTCAGTAGCCATGAATAAACCATGGTCATTGAGCAAATCATCACTCTAAATCACAAGAAGGAAACAAAGGAAATTTTGTGAGATTTATTTATAAAAGATTCTATCCGAGGAAATGTCACATTCACAGGCACAGGACCTCACATGAACTTGGGAAGGCCCTTTTAAAGGATGAGCAGACTGGTCTTTGTAAAATTACATATATTATGGGGTAGTAGCTAGTTTCTAGCAGAAATATTTTTGAAAATGTAAATAAAAATATAATAAAAGCACAACATTCTCCTGATGGAGTTATCTTTTGCCCATTGATTACAGAAGAGGTGTTTTGATTTATTTCTTTAATCCAAAAATGTGGGGGGTACCTAAGTTGTGCACAGCAATTTGCAGGGTGCTTGTAAGGAAACAAATTCAGTTTCTGCTCACTCTCACAGGATCCAACAGAGGCAGGATGTGAGTATTTCATCTAATTAAGTGGCCCATCAAAATCAGATGGTGAAGTACCAATTACTGATTATAACTGAATATAAGAGTCAGAATGACCCTGAGAGAAGGTAATCTAAAACTGATAATGCAGATGAAGGGAGCGAGGGCCACAGAAATAAGGGATTTTCTATGTTTTATAACAACCATTTTCTAAACCTCTATGGAAGAATTACAATAAAAGCAGTCTACAATTCTGGTAAGCATAACTTTTACATGTAATTGGATAGGTTTATATTATTTGCTACTGTTCAGGTAGTATTTATGCCATAAAACAATGTATCTGATTTGTGATTGTTTTCTTGAGTAAGAGTAGTAGGTAGATTAATAGAGCTGAGATATACACAGAGCTTTTTATACTTTCATTCAATATTCAAAAATCTCTTAAGTCTCTTCAGTCCCTTCTATACCATTAACCTAATCAGAAAACTTTTAAAACTCAGAAACCAGCTACATAAACCAGAACAATTTTTAAACAAATACAAGAACTCAATCATAAAGAAGGCCTCCTAATTTCCATTCTTTCCAGTGGGACATGTGTAAAGGATTACAAATTTCTTATTAACAAACTAAATCCAAATCTTCCATCTCTAGCCCCCATAATCAGAGATATGCTTTTTGTCCTTATATTTTAGATCTTTAAAATAATACCACTAGAACATAATTCAGTGATTCAAACTAAAACTATTAAATCACATGTGGAGATTTCTCAGTGCCCTTTATTTGTATTAATCAGGCATACATGTTGATTAAATATTGAGAGACAAAGGGTAGGATAGCCTTGAGCTGAACAAAATAAGGTAATGGATGAGAAATGCAAACAATTCATACCTACCCTTCCAGTTCATTCTAAAACTGCAAGCATATTTTAAAAACCATGGTTTCTCAGGAAGTCCCAGGATTGTAGATGAGAACAGCTCCCTGGCCATGAGTCTCGGGCCACACTATATAGTATTTGTTATACAGACCACAATAATCCTGGATCTTTTGGGGAGCTCCAAAATACTTACAAATTAATAGAATACCTGATGATGGCCTAGAACTAATCCAAATACCTCCCAACCCCAAGGCTTGCTGGAACTAGTCTTGGGCAGGCAGTAACACTGTTCTCCATACTTGTACTTCCTGTTGCTTGCACAGGAAGTGCTTCCACATTAAAACACTTTTAGCCAGCTAGAAGTGTAAAAAAAAAAAGCCATGTAGACTTGGGTGGGTGGACTCTATTAGTATTAGCTAATCTGGTAAGAATTTACGTATGTTCTCAAGTCCAACAACTATGCAGAGTCATCCACAGATATAAGACCCATGATTCTCCTAGTCTCTAGCCCACAGATTTTGCTTCACTAGATGGAATGCAAAGTTAGCCCTGAATTGGGGGCTAATCTAAAACGTTTACCTGCTTATTTGTCTGTCTCTTTGCTACACTGCAAATGCTCTGAGGGAATAAATTGTATTTTATTCAGCATTGTGAATGATGCATAGGAGAACTGAAAGGCTTCAAAAAAGAATGAATGAATAAATGAGCAATTTTAAATGAACATCATAAAGACCTATGCAGCAGAGGAAAAAAATAGACACCCCAAACAGGGGATCATAGCCCTCACTCCCCTCCTCACTCCCACCCTGCCACAACATCCAACAAAAATGTCTATTCCCTGCCAAGATTTCATAGACCAATTAGTGTTATGAAATGCACCATAATGTGGTAGAAAAATCCAGACCTGGGAGCTGAAACTGCGAGGCTATAGGGTTTCTTCTCTTGACCTCAGTTTCTTCATCCAGACTGGAATATAATACTAAAGTCTTTTTCGGCTCTAATATTCTATTAAGCATATTAGTGCCTGGGCACTGTGGATTACAAAGTCATTAGAATTTTGGAACATAAGTAGGCACTCTGACTTGTGAGGATGCAGCTAAAATATACTAAAGAAGGAAACAAAAATACTAAAAAAGACTACGGGAGACAGAGCATTCAGAGGTTACTTGCATTAACTCTGGTAACTGGGGAGCCCAGAGTTTACAGCAGGAAGGAAACCTAAAAGGAACATGACTCCTCACCTCCACAGATGGCCTGGGCTCCTCAGCTCCACTGAGACTGTGACCCTGGTGCATAACCTGCCTGTGTTTTATCTGCAACATGGAGTCAGGTGTGTTGTGAAGCTTATTTGAGCTAATACACAGAAAGTGCTGAGCACCGCCTTGCATGTCGTAAGCACTCAGTAAACGTTAAGAAACAAAGTCTCTGAGCCTGCCCACTCCACAAAGATGAGCACAGCCACACCACCAACAGAAAAAACACTGTCTTCCTTCCTCTTTCCCACACTGTGTGAGGCCTTCGCCATGGCCCTTACATCTTCCCAGTCTCACCCAGTCTTACATCCAAAAAAAAAAAAAAGAGGTGAGCCCAATAAGCCCTCTCTTCAACTTCACTCAAGTTAGGGAGGGGCATTCAAGATAAACAGCTTACCATTTTAATACTGTCTTCCTTCAGATTTAAGACACAGTTTTTTTTCACATTTTAGCATCCCTGAAAGAGGGATGTATCTTTAAAAATGGCACTTGAGATTAATATGGTAACAATGTTGTTGGTTACTTACCATTCAAAATGCAACAGTGTTTCTGTGATTACATAAATTTCAGGAATTTGTTGTGGCCTCACCCAGAAAACTTGCCCCTGTTTATAGTATTATTTCTATGAAGAAATTACTCAAGAATAAACAGTTTTGTTAAATGGACCTGCCTAAACACAGAAGGATGGCTCCCAAAATATTAAGCTGAGGTCTGTTAAGTCTTAAATAAAGGATTAGCTAGTTAAGGGGGAAATTTTCAATTGTAAATCATTCAGATTAAAGTTCTGATGATGCTGTCACCAATGACAAGTGAGACCGGTAACAAATACAAATCTTGGGGAGTAGAAAATTGACTAAGAAATGTTGGTTTAAACCTTTGTCCTCCTAACTCGCTTGGCAGAAAGGCCACCAGTTTACAGTACCAGATCCTGAGCCCTGGGTTCACTGGCATCTTTATGGGGAAAAGAGGGGAAGTGAAGTACGACGACAAAATCAAAATAAACACACTCGCATAGACATAAGCACCTCTACACAAAGTGCTATCAGTGACTTGGGTTTTTTTAAAATAAAGTAAATAAAAGCCACTGCCTGAGTCAGCGATCTCCTGTGTAACTAGCTCCATCGGCATAATCGCAGCCACAGCTCCACATTCGGATAACTGATGATCCGCCATACCAAAAAATGCTCACCTTTGTTCACGTTACTGAACTCTCTCACCCTCCCTTTCTCCAAGCCTCCACCCCACTTCCACTCCCCTAAAATCAGTGTCTGAGAATCACATGTCTTCTGAAAGTTGTCAGGGCACTTTAGCCCTGTTCAGTCAGGTAACAATTGCTTCTACCCGCACCCATTCGCCCAGCAGTGTCTCTCAGACCCTGGCCCACACAGACCCTGCAGCATCTCGGGAGTTCAGGGACGCTGAGATCCGAGGTACCCAACTTCCTCCCACCTCCTGTCTCTGTAGGCCTGTGGACGAGGAGCAGCAGCTTGCTGGGCGGGGATGGGGAGGGGGCGGGGCGCTCCTTGTCCAAGAGAATGGCCCGCGGAGATTGTCAGAGTGAGAAGTTTGTGATCAGAGTTTGTCTAAGGCCAGAGCTGGAAATGCCAGCGAGAAAACAACCAGACAGGATGAAAGCGGTGGAGTGGGCGGTGCCCCCCACGATCTCCACTGCCCATCCCTGCAGTCAGCCAATCTAAAGATAGCCATACAGTCCAAGATATAGCAAGCTTCAACACCGGTCTTTTATTTGCTCCGCAAGCGCACCCTCTTCCCCAACAAAAAAACAAACAAAAAAAAAAGAAAGAAAGAACGAAAGAAAAGAAATCCTAACTGCATCTCTCCCCCTTCCCACTCAGAAATTTTGGAGCCAGGCCAGCTGCCATCCCATGCTAGGAGGGGAGACCTGAGAGGGAGGTCCTAACGCTCACCACCCTCTCTCCCTAGCTCATCAGGCCAGCAGCATGGAAGGGGGTGGATACGGGGAGCACGGGGGTGGGGCTCGGTTAGAGGGGCTCCATGCCTACGGGGTCTCCACACCCGAGTCCCGTGGGTGGGCAATCTCCAAGCGCATCTCGTCTGCGGGGACCGCTGCACGTCTGCTCAGCCCCTCCAGGAGCCCCTTCTTACCTAGTCCTCTGAGGCGCCCACCTTCCCGCTGTCCGCCAGCTCCCGAGTCTCGTCTTGGAAGGTTAGGCCCTTAAGTCCCAGAAGGAATTGGGATGGGAGCCGGGAGGGAGGAGGTGTTTGCTCAACTTCAGAGGACGTCAGACCGCCTCTTCCCGCAGCCAATCAGCGGCCGCCCTAAGGGAACAACCTTCTCTTCCGCCAATCGGCGGCGCTGCCAGGTACTAGGCCTTGCCCGGCCCCTGCTCCTCCCCCCAAATCCTCTGCCTTTTCCATCACTGACCTGCGGGCATCACGCCCGCCAAGGACGGTTATCGACCAAGTTCGTAACTGTGTAGCTGAGGACATGCAGAGAAAGAGAGAGATGAAAATAGCCTGGATCTTACACACTAAATAGATGTATTTCCTGAAAAAAAAAAATAAAACCCCGCGAGCTCGTGTAAATAGTGTTTGTTTATAGAAATACACTTTTTAAAGCACTTTCACAGAGTCTCACAGCAGGCCTATGAAGGCAGATGATGGTTCTTGGAACAGTTTTGTTGGAGTCCAGCAAACTGAGACTGAAAAAGTTAGCGTATCCACATTCAACTAATATTAACAATCCATGTGTATCTGACAAAGTCCAACGTTCTTTAAAAGTCTGCACTAAGCGGGCCCTGGAGGGACAAGGGAAAATGCATTTCATAAAAACTAGCCTCAGCTCAAGATGCTGAAGGAACATCTGAAGCCCATCTTGGTCCTTCTAGGGAGTCAATGACCAGAGGGTAATCTTCCCTCCTGTTTTTATAACTTTCTCCAACACCTTTACGTTCTCAGACCTGACACAAAGGTGTTAAATTATTAAACTCTCGTGTCAATGATCTAAAGCCTAGAATGTTCTTATAAACTCCATTTTTATAAGCTCTCACAGTCACCTCCGATGCCTTCAATATGGGAGACCCATTCCATGACCCAGGCTGCTGGGTCAACACTCCTGAGATTTGGGACCACTCATGCTACTTCGCTCCCACCTTCTTTGTCTCCTCTCTTCCCTAGTTGTTCCTTTCTGTATTCTTTTCCTGCAAGACCATGAAGCTGGTAGGTGTGCATGTGGGCACTGGAATGAGACAAGCCTAGACAGCAAGTCATTTTGTCTTTTTAAGCTGCATTTTCCCCACCAGGAAAATGGGAGACATGGAAAATGAAGTTCTCAAAAAGAGAACTTGTTATCAATATTTGTAAGCTATTATTGAGGCTTATTGTTTTATTCTCTCTCATCCTCACTTCCCATGTATTTGTATTCAAATCTTACTCTCATTCTTAAACGACCTCTCTTTATGACCTTTGCCATAAAGAGAAAAGAGGTGGACATATGGGGGGAGGAAGGAATGAGGAACACTCCTAAGTTTGTTCTAATGATTTCTCAAGACTTCACATTTCCTACATAAACAGCAATTTTTGAGCTATCTTCTACAATGTGCCCACCTTAATAAAATTATTCTACTCATTAGAAACATGAGTTTCTCATAGCCAGAAAGTTCAAAGTCAAATGTTGTATAAAATAAGAACTAGTTTGGGAAAGAAAAGTTTCTAAATGACAATTACTGTGTTCCCTGAACTTCAAATTCACTTGAGAATGAAACATATCTCCTTCACCTACAAGGATTTTAAAAATCTGATCAGGTAAGATAAGAATAAGAAACATTCACAGATAAATTGCAATTTCTGAAAACAGCTTCCAAGTTGAGATAATAATGTCCTGGGGGACCCCTCCCCCACTCTTAGGTGAAAGAAACAGAAAATTTATTACTGGAAACACTGGTTTACCCCCCTACCATTAGCAGTACTTAGGAGCCTTCCTGAAAAACATTTGAGAAAACTCTAAGCCCCTTGACATTTTCAGGGACAACCTTTGTTGGTTTCTAATGTTTCACCAAGTCCCCAAGGGTCTGTGGCACCCCTGGAGAGTCACACGTGCAGGGCGTAACTCAGGGGGCAAGTGACTGCCTTCCCCTCCTGCTTAGTTACTGCTCTAAGTCTGCCAGGACTTAGAAATTTCCGTTACACATCACTGTATTTTATAAAGTGCATGAGAGTTATATGCTATAATATAAGCAAATTTGGAAAATAACATAAGGAAATTTGGGAAATGCAAATTTTGTAATATATCTCACTGACACATGCTCAATCTAATATATTCAAATAAATGGTAGGAAATCCAGTTCTCCTCTTCTCAGCTTCTCTTGAATGAACGTAAAAAAAATAGATGCCTTGAAGGAGAGAGAAAAGACTGGAGACAAGAGAGACAAAGTAATTAAAATGAAAGTGAAACACAAGTGTAATTTTCCTATAATAACTAGTAAGTATAATTGAGCTAGAGGTAAGGAAACTCAGGACTTTCTTTTTCTAGTCGCTGTCTGGGTCAGGTACAAAATGAAGCCAATCTTTTATAGTTGTCATATGGCTATTGAAAAAGGAAGGACAAAAGAATATAAAAACTGGCCCTGGCTGCTATGGCTCAGTGGATTGAGCACCAGCCTGGGAATCAAAGGGTCACAGGTTCAATTCCCAGTCAGGGCACACTCCTGGGTTGTGAGCCAAGTTGGGCCCCCAGTAGGGGGCACACGAGAGGCAACCACACATTGATGTTTCTCTCCTTTCTCTTTCCCTTCCCCTCACCCTAAAAATAAATAAATAAACTATTTTTAAAAGGAATATAAAAATTGTTTTTTGCAGTGTAAGAAGTAGCAACCAGGAAAAGTAATCACAGCATAGGCAAGGTCACAGCCAGAGCAGAGAATTAAAAGAGAACATATCCCTCACATTGAAATGACTCTCATTATAATTGCTATCAGTACAGCTTCTCAGAAACGAGTGAAATATGAAAGGAATGGAAAAAGAACTTCAAAGGAGGATGTGCCCACTGGAATGTGTAGTGTTGACACTGCCCATGATATGCGCAGGCCATTCTGTGTTTGTCATTCACTATTATCCGCCAACCCCCACCCCTGAAATAGAACAAAGGCAAAATGCCTAATATATCAGAATTTACAAAGTACAGAGAGTACTTCCTGGGCTTGTATACACAAGTAAGCTATAAATGTCTGTTAGCTAGTTTTTAAATGTAGTCAAAATAAACACTTCCCTAAAGCTAATGCCTAAAATGACAAAGGTGTGTCATATATACATATACAACATGACATATGACATAAGTCACCAACTCGATAGAAAAGGTTTTATTTGGATTATCACAAATATATTTTAATTAATCTATGTGCTTCTCTAGACTCAGACACATGACGTACATAGTATAATAATATTTGAAGGAAGACTGTGATGAGTTATATATATGGCAAACTCTAGAGCACTAAAACAGAGATATAGCTACTAAGACAAAAGGAGGGGAGAATTAATTGTAAAAGAATAATATGCCCAGAAGAGTAAGAAAAGAGAAAAATGGAACAAAGATTAGATGATAAATAAAAAACAATTAATATGGTGGTAAATTTTAATCCAACTATACTGATAATTATATTAAATGTTAATGATTAAACCATTCCAAAAAAAAAAAGGCAGAGCTTATCACATTGGATAAAATAAAACAAAATATACCAATATGCTACCTAAAAGAAACCTACTTTAAATATAAAAATATGGATAGATTTAAAAATAATGAATGCATAAATACATACTATATAAATACTAATCAAAAGAATATCTATATTACAAGGGATAAAGTGGGGAATTTCAAAATATAAAGAGGTCATATATAAATTACCTAAATATGAGAGCTAAAACTATAAAACTAGAAATAAACATGAGAAAATTTTGTGACATTGGGTTAGTCAAAGATTTCTTAAATTGGATACAAAAACTACTAATCATAAAAGAACTATTGATAAATTTAACTTAATCAAAATTAAGAACTTTTTTCTTTGAAAAACTTTTAAGAAAATGAAAGGGCAAGTCACAGACTTGGGAAAAAATATTTGCGGATCAAATGACCAATAAAGAACTTGTCTGCAGACTATAAAAAGAAGTCTTTCAACTTAATAACAAACATGCAAAGAGACAGAGTTTTTAAAAGAACAAAGATTTACACAAACATTTTACCAAAAAACATACATGTATTGCACATAGGACATAAAAATATGCTCAATATTTATTGGGCATTCAGAAGTTCCCTTAATTCATAGTTGGTAGGTTTATGTTATTAATGTATGTGGGAAGCTATTATTTCACGGAATGCATGGTCGCATAACTCCAGGAATTTGATGAGCAATTTCAACATTTGTGTCCCATAAGGAATAAAAGATGATGTCTCAGCCAGTGTGTTTGAGGGAGGGAAGGCCTCTGACACAGCTAGAGAATTGTTGATCAACAAATGAAGAAGTACTAGGAAAATCACTGCCAGACTGCAACTCTTATCTGCTTCATCTTTTTTCCAAATCCCTTACCTACCCTTTCTTCTCTTTATAAAATGGTCTGCTTGAGATGAGATGTTAAGATGGTTTTTGAGAGTAATAACGCACCGTCTTCTCAGATCACTGGCATCTGAATAAAATGCCCATGAAGATTCAATCTTTGTCTCTGATTATGGGTTCTAGTAGTGATAGGAATTATGACCATTGGCTTTTCCAGTTTCAATATCCCTAGGCATCAGTAAAATGTAAAATAAAACCATTACACACAGATGAATTGTAATAGTATATTTTGATAAAGATATGAAGTAATTATTACAGTCAAATATTTCTGATGAAAATTCAAAATGGCACAACCATTCTGGAAAACAGTTTGGCAGTTCCTTTTAAATTAAGCATATACTGATCATACAACCTAGCAATCTCATCTCTCTTCAGTAAACAACTCTAGGAGATTTACTTATAAAATCAAAATCTGGAAACAGTTCAAATGTCCATCAGCTGATGAATGAATCAACAAACTGTGGTATATAAACTAAAAAAGGGGCAATAAAATACTGACATATACAACATAGATGAATTCCCC